TATTTACTTATGACCACGCTGTGTGCATTAAACTTTACAAGGACCAGGAACCAGTGGTTTTGCCACTCGAACTTGGCTAAGTTTTGATAAAGGAAGATTTTTCCAGCATTAATACAATAGTAGACTGTATTCGAAACAAATATTCTTGTCATGTATGCTGAATTTTTTCTACAGGTAAAAAGTAATGTTTTAAAATTAATTGATAAACCAGGAAAATATTTTGACTTTATTTTTAAGGCTGAACAGTATCATGCTATTGTAAAATCGTTTTTCTTTTTATTTTGTATCATTCTATTATAATTTTTTTTTTTTCCAAAATCTTAATTTCATTTGTTTATTCAAAAATGTTGCCAGATTTCATTTGAGCTAATGGCTACAAAACCTATTAAAATGAGTATTGATTTGTGGTTGAATAATGATTACAAAGAAAACTGTAATGAAAAATTATTATATCTCAAGAAAACTACTTGTCTTAGGGGTAAAGAAAAATTCACCAATGGCATACGCTTTATTCAGGTGTTTCAAAATCATATTATCTGCATGTTGTTTTTCTGAAAAAACTAACGTTGCTTTTAGTTCTCTTTTTTTAAAATATAGGAGAAATTGGTGATTTCAATAAAATGCCTGAAAGTGTGTGGATTTATTATGATGATCAATGAACACTGTCCGCAATTTGGCTTACAGCAACTTCATTTAGAGATAGGCTTGATCTTCTGATTGAGAATGACAAAAAATGTATTGAACACTTTCTGTGGCAGTTTTTAAAACATCCTGTACCATGGCTGAACTTTTGTGAATAAACTTATGATTGTCATTGTAAGTTAGTATAGTCCCCCTTAGAACAAGTAGGTTTCAAGTCAATGTAAGTTAGTATAAAGACAATAATTTTACAAATATTTTTAAACTCTCTTTTATATTACTTGTAAGTGAGAAAATACTTCTTTTACCTACCTACTGAACTTATTTTTAATATTCAACCTATTAATCAATATGCTTTATAGTAAATAAGAATAATTTTTTTTTACTGTATCAGACTGATACTATAATTTTTACTTGAGCTGCTAGTAAAATACAGTGTTTTTTTTGTTGACATTCTTGATTGTTTTATCAGACCATGCAGAACTCTGTCAAAAGAAAACTTGAAAAAGGGAGCGCTGCCGAAATAATCTTGAATAAAAAACCATGGTCAGTTAATTGTATTTTTTGTATTGTGGATCTGTGTTGAACTAGTTTTAGGATCATAAAATAATGTATCTAATACTTCGATAACGATAGTTATTTTATATACAGTAGTGGTTAATTAATCAATGTTATTTTGTTTAGAAGAATAAACAACTTAAATCCTGATTACGCAATAGAAATTGCAAGTAAAGAGAAGCAAGTGATATTAATTAAAATTTCTTGAATTGTGCTTTTGATGATGTAATTTTCTTTTTTCCAGATTCAAGTAACTCATGAGAAAGCTAAACATTATATTTACAATTTTAGAGAAAATTAATTTCTCTTTTGTGCTGGTAATTTTCTGAATTTTTCAAATGGTTTTCATATTTTGTGATTATTATTTTAACATATTTCCCCAAGTTGTTAATATAAGCTCAAAATGTAATAAATTCTGAATTTTCACTATGATAATTCAGTAATGACTTGTCAAATGATCTTACGTATTCACTTTTGTCATTATATATGTTTTACTGGTTAGATGTGATTTATTACCAAAAAAGTAGTGTTTCTACTTTATTTTTTTGCTCTTTTTTATTTTGAAATTGTAATTAAATTTTTCTACAAATTAGGATTTTATTTTTTAACAAATTTAAAGGAATTGGAACTATAACAGGTGAAGATGAGTAGAAAATAAAAAACATTGTACAAATGTGTCAGTGAATAAAAAATAATTATTGTAATTAATTCAGTTCTCTTGAGTATAAAGAAATTAGAAAGGTATGTCAGTTGGAACCATACAAGAAATATTATTTTGGTGTTTCTTTTATTACATTTTGGAAAATTTATTACATTCAGAATATTGAACACGTCATCATGTTAAATATTTATTTGCATAAGTTATAATACTTGATATATAGTTCTTTGTACACCATAATTGTTTCCAGTAAATGCTTGGTTTTAACATATGGTTATTTATTAATCCTTATTTATACTTCCATCATCTGGAGAAATATGCTATCATAAAATGTTCAAATGTAAAATATAAAATGAACAAAACGTGTAAAAAGTAAGTATGAAAATTAATATGATCACATTTTCCACTCCGGTTCTAATTATTATTTATTTTTTAAACACAGCATTGAAGTGTCCTTTTCTCTCAGACAAGATGCCAACCCTTCTTCTAGACAACAGAACTTGCTGCGCTTCCAGGTTAACCCAGAACCCCACTGGGGACCCAAAGCACGAGCAAGAACAAGGTAAAATTTATATGTTTGTATTCTTTTACCTTGTATATACATTAGTAAAAAGCAAACAAACTTACAGTTAACTCTGTACCGATTGGGTCCAAGACTTCAACAGCTTTATAAACACATTTTCTAAAATATTTTTGTACCGAACTGCTTGTGAACTCTTCATGTTCTTGCTTACAAAATCCTTGGTAGTGTATACACACATATAGATATATATATATATATATATATATATATATATATATATATATAATAAATATCTACTACTACTATATATATAGGAGGAGATAGTAAGTTAGTACTTAAGTATGTGTG